GAGAGAGAGAGAGAGAGAGAGAGAGAGAGAGAGAGAGAGAGAGAGAGAGAGAGAGAGAGAGAGAGAGAGAGAGAGAGAACACTTTATTGTCAAATGAGTGTTATGTTTGATCATCATTTTAAGATGGAACGAGTTCAGTGGAGGCCTTTGGAAGCAATAAAAGGCGGCCTGGCCAAGTCTGGTAAGCCTGCGCACAGTAGGTGGCAAGGCTGTTGGTTTTGCACTTATCTGGTTCTTTAAATCTGCAGCTGGTTGTTGTTCTCTTTTGGGTTGCATTGATTGCTTGCAGTCCAAAGTGCTCAGGAGATTGGAGAAGTTCCCAGGTGGAGCGGTGCTTGATGGAGTTCTGGAAAGCATTGTCAATGTCGACCTGACCAACGTGAGGTTCGATATGGTCCAAACGGTAAGTCCAGACTCCAGCATCTCGATGATGTTACCACTTCCATTTGCTACTCTGCTCTTTGACCGGTTGGACCGGCCTTGCACCTGATTGACCAAGAATTGTCTGGGACCAGAGTTGCTAAAGTTTCCCATGCTCTCCGTAGTACTATGCCAAGGCTGCCAGGCTGAAAATGAGTACCCCAGCTATGCGTAGTACTATGTGCGGGCTGACGGCGTCCATGTTCTGGTAAGCATGTGTACTATGCGCAGGAGGCAGGTTGGCCGTTCTTATCTCCACGGAGAGCAATGACCTCTTCCTCGTTTTGCTGTATGCAAGTTTGGCGTCACCCTGCTGGAGCGCTGGTTGGAAGCAGTGCTGGTCTGGAGCAGCGCTGTGGGGAAGAGAAGCGCCCAGCTCTCCACCTTTGCTAGAGCTGCTTTGCGTCGTCTTTTGCACGTCAGGGCAAGACCCTTAGTAGTCTGCCATAGCCTCGGCCTGGATGAAGAAGAGAGAGGAGGACGGTCATGGCTATGGTGGACCTCTTGTTGTGCAGGCAGTAGAAGAGGGATTCTGACACTGATTCTGGTTCAGCCATTCATCATCATTATTATTATTTATTGTTTGAATAAGAGAGGAGGAGATGAGGAGGAGGAGTTGGTTGGCGAGAAGAAAGGGGAATTATCATTGGTCTTTTGCTGGTGTACATCTTCTTCTTCTCCTTTCTTTCTTCTTCTTCTTCCTCTTTCCCTCTTTCTGCTCTCACGTTCATTCATTTCTTTTGCAATTGGACGGCATTGTACTTTCTCGTGAATTTGCACTTCAAAATTGGCCAGGATCATAATAGGGGTCAGAGGTTAGGATGTAGGGTTTGGATTCCAACTGTGGGCATTTGAGCTTGTAAGTTCTATGTTGGGTCAGTCTCTAGTAGATCCCATGAGAGGCAATATTCATTGAATTATGAGAGCCACCCTTGCTGGGAAACAGGGGAAGTGAGGAGAAAGCTGGGGAGAGGAGGGGGGGGAGGGGGAGGGATGGTCAGTCACTTTCAGATCGCATGAGAGGCAACGCTGCCTCGAACAAGCCAACCATTGAATGAGAGCCACGCC